AGAGAGATGAAAAAGAGATGAGAGAGAGATGAGACAGAGATGAGACAGAGAAAGAGAGAGAGAGAGAGAGAGAGAGAGAGAGAGAGAGAGAGAGAGAGAGAGAGAAGAAGAAGAAGAAGAAAGAAGAGAGAAGAACGAAGAGGAATAAATTAGAATGCCATAGTGAGACGAAAAAAAAAACGAGTGGATGAATATGTATGTATGATGTACGCACGTATGTATGTGCACATGTATGTAAGTGTCCACAAGTGTCATGCCTCGCCCGTATGATTTATGAATGGTTTATGCCTACCTATGCTTTTTTTTCCCCTTCTCTACGCACAACCTGCTTTAAAACCCATTAGAATGTAGCCTCAATTATCTGATAAAGAAGGGCATTAAAATTCTCTCTGTCCACTTAAATTGTCGTGCAATAGATGTCCCCACCATCGCTCATTCTGATTTATTGTTGTTCTCTTTTATTCTTTTCGTTTTTTGTCTTTTTTTTTAAGTCTTCTCGATTTTCCAATTGGTAACGACTTTTTTTTTTATCTTGGCGGCGGTTTTATAAGTGATACTCAAATGTCTCAGTGACGGAAGAAGAAAAAAGAAAATGGAGTTTAAAGAGCGAAGGAGGGAATGAGAGAAGGGGAAAAAAGGAAAAAAAGAGAGTGAAATTTAAAGAGCGAAAAGGCCGAATGAAGGGAAAAGGAAACAAAGAGAGTTAAACTTAAAAAGCGAAAGAGGGAATGAAAGAAAGCTAAAGGAAAAAAAAGAAAAAAAGGGGAGATTAAGCAACGAAATGCAAAAACAAAACGAAATTTAAGGAACGAAAGGCGGACACAGCGAAAGGGGGGGGAAAAGCGGGGGCGGAGAGAAAATTTGAAATTTAAAGGAGCGAAGAGGGGTGTGAGAGAGAAGGAAGAAATGTAGGGAAAAGCGAGAGAGCGAATGGCTCATAAATTGTTCTCCGCGTCACCTTTTCACGAGGTCACCGATCACACCGAAAACAGATTAAGATTCTCTGCTTCACTCTCGTCTTCTCGTGTTCCCTCTTATTCCCCATCTTTATTTTTTTTTCTTTATCTTTTTTCTCTTTCTCTTCTTCTATTTCTATTTCTCCCTCCCCCTCCTTCTTTCTCTTTTTCTTTTTTTCTTCTCTTGCTCCTATTTTCTTCCTTCATCTGTTTTTGTGTCTTCTCTGTCTTTGTATCTTTTTTCTTCTTCGTCTTCCTCTCTTCTCTTCTTCTCTTCATTTTCTGTCTCTTTATCGTCCCCAACTTCTCACTTTCATTTCCTTCGATATTAATTTCTTTCATCGTTTATCTTCTCCCTCATTCTCCTTCCTTTCCTTCTCTCCTTGTTCCACCCTTTCCTTCTCTTTCTCCTCCTTCCCATATCTCCTTACCTTCCTCTATCTCCTTTTTTCTTCTTCTTTCCCTTCTCCTTTTCCTTCCTCCTTTTCTTCCTCCTTCTCTTCTAACCACCACGCCCCCACCTCCCCTCTCCCTCCCCCCTTTTCTCTTCTCACCCTCTCCCTATCCCCCCCTGTTTCTTACCCTCACCTGGGCTCCCCTTTCATCGCCTGTCTACAAGAAATACACTTCGGAAAAGTTTTAGTAACTCTCTTTTTTATATGTTTTTCTTTTCTCCCCACTCTGTTATCTCGTTTTTTTCTCCCTCTCTATGCCTCTCTCTCACTCTCTCTCTTCTCGTCCTTCGCGAAAAAGCAGAGACCGCAAAAAAAAGATGAAGGGGAAAAAAAAAATTGACGAGCACTCAAACATCCAGATACGAAGGAGAAAAATACAATATTAGGAATAATAATCGTCAAAAGACACTTCCCTTACACCTAGAGAGAGGAGAGAGAGAGAGAGAGGAGAGAGAGAGAGAGAGAGAGAGAGGAGAGAGAGAGAGAGAGAGAGAGAGAGGAGAGAGAGAGAGAGAGAGAGAGAGAGAGAGAGGAGAGAGAGAGAGAGAGGAGAGAGAGAGAGAGGAGAGAGAGAGAGAGGAGAGAGAGAGAGAGAGAGGAGAGAGAGAGAGAGAGGAGAGAGAGAGAGAGAGGAGAGAGAGAGAGAGAGAGAGGAGAGAGAGAGAGAGAGAGAGAGGAGAGAGAGAGAGAGGAGAGAGAGAGAGAGAGAGAGGAGAGAGAGAGAGAGAGAGAGAGAGAGAGGAGAGAGAGAGAGAGAGGAGAGAGAGAGAGAGAGAGAGAGAGAGAGAGGAGAGAGAGAGAGAGGAGAGAGAGAGAGAGAGAGAGAGGAGAGAGAGAGAGAGGAGAGAGAGAGAGAGAGGAGAGAGAGAGAGAGGAGAGAGAGAGAGAGAGAGAGAGAGAGAGAGGAGAGAGAGAGAGAGGAGAGAGAGAGAGAGAGGAGAGAGAGAGAGAGAGAGAGGAGAGAGAGAGAGAGAGAGGAGAGAGAGAGAGAGAGAGAGAGAGAGAGAGGAGAGAGAGAGAGAGAGAGAGAGAGAGAGAGAGAGAGGAGAGAGAGAGAGAGAGAGAGAGAGAGAGAGAGAGAGGAGAGAGAGAGAGAGAGAGAGAGGAGAGAGAGAGAGAGAGAGAGAGAGGAGAGAGAGAGAGAGAGGAGAGAGAGAGAGAGAGAGAGAGAGGAGAGAGAGAGAGAGAGAGGAGAGAGAGAGAGAGAGAGAGAGAGAGAGAGAGAGAGAGAGAGAGAGAGAGGAGAGAGAGAGAGAGAGAGAGAGAGGAGAGAGAGAGAGAGGAGAGAGAGAGAGAGGAGAGAGAGAGAGAGAGAGAGAGAGAGAGAGAGGAGAGAGAGAGAGAGAGAGAGAGAGGAGAGAGAGAGAGAGGAGAGAGAGAGAGAGAGGAGAGAGAGAGAGAGAGAGGAGAGAGAGAGAGAGAGGAGAGAGAGAGAGAGAGAGAGAGGAGAGAGAGAGAGAGGAGAGAGAGAGAGAGGAGAGAGAGAGAGAGGAGAGAGAGAGAGAGAGAGAGAGGAGAGAGAGAGAGAGAGGAGAGAGAGAGAGAGGAGAGAGAGAGAGAGAGAGAGGAGAGAGAGAGAGAGGAGAGAGAGAGAGAGGAGAGAGAGAGAGAGAGAGAGAGGAGAGAGAGAGAGAGAGAGAGAGGAGAGAGAGAGAGAGAGGAGAGAGAGAGAGAGAGAGGAGAGAGAGAGAGAGAGGAGAGAGAGAGAGAGAGGAGAGAGAGAGAGAGGAGAGAGAGAGAGAGAGAGAGAGAGAGAGAGAGGAGAGAGAGAGAGAGAGGAGAGAGAGAGAGAGGAGAGAGAGAGAGAGAGAGAGGAGAGAGAGAGAGAGAGGAGAGAGAGAGAGAGAGGAGAGAGAGAGAGAGAGAGAGAGAGAGAGAGAGAGAGAGAGGAGAGAGAGAGAGAGAGAGAGAGAGAGAGAGAGCCCACCCCCACCACCCCTTCACCTCACCCCCCTCCCCATGCGCAAAGCTACTGCGCATTCATTCATAAAATAAGAAAACACAGAGGAGTCATTCCTGCCCCCTCCCCTCCTCCCCTCTCTTTCTCGTCCCTCTCTCGTAGTCAGTGGGGGTAGGGGAGAGGGGGAAGGGGAAGAGGGGAGGGGGGTATTGGGAGGGGAAAGGTGAGGGAAGAGAGGAGAAGGGGAAGGGGAAAAGGAGTAAGGGGAAAGGGGAGAGAGAGCGAGGAGGGAGGGAGGAAGGGGAGGGGGAAGGGGCTCGTGTTGACAATATCTCTTTGAAGAAGCAGGGCGATATGTGTTCGCTGCCGGAAGTGTAAATCATCTTTCGGCCATTGAGGCTGCGAGTCGGTGGACGCAAGACATCACAGGAATTCCGGTGGCGTAATTACGTCCTCGTTGATATTCGTCGCGGCTCGAGTTGCGTTGGATGCGATCGGGGCGCCGACCGCCGTTTGATTTCTGCTTGATTTCCTCTCGCGCTTCTCGGATTCTGGCTCCGGCGGATGGCTTATTTACGCGCGTATACAAGCACATATCCACGTGCATGTATGCATTATATATATGTATATATATATATATATATATATATATATATATATATATATATATGTATATATATATATAAATATATATACACACACATACACACATATATGTGAGTGTGTGTGTGGGTGGGTGTGAGTGTGAGTGTATGCACGTGCGTGTGCGCATGGCACATATGTTTTGTAAACAATATATACACAAATACACATGAATATCTCAGACAGAGCGAGAAAGAGAAGGAGATTGAGAGGGCGAGAAAGAGTAAACGGAGAGCGAGAGAGAACGGAGTAAGAGAGAGAGAGAGAGAGAGAGAGAGAGAGAGAGAGAGAGAGAGAGAGAGAGAGAGAGAGAGAGAGAGAGAGAGAGAGAGAGGCCTGATGCGTGACACGACGGGACAAAAATAACAGTTTGTAAGAGCAAGTCCATCACACACTCCATAGAGTCGCTGATGAAGCTGCAGCAGGTAAAGTCTTGACTGGTACGGCAGCTGGTCTATTATTAGCCAGCTGGTGACGGGGAGAGGATGGTGGGGGCAGTGGGTGGAGGAGGAGGAGGAGGAGGAGGAGGAGGAGGAGGAGGAGGAGGAGGAGGAGGAGGAGGAGGAGGAGGAGGAGGAGGAGGAGGAGGAGTAGGAGTAAGAGTAAGAGAGGTCGCCTACGATGGGGGAGCGGGAAAGGGAGAGTGAAGGAAGAGGTAGGGCAGGTAAGCGAAAGAGGGGAGGTAGAGGAGAGGAGTAGAGGGGGAGGAGAGGGGGAGGGGAGATGTCAGGTTCAAGGTTTATATTGGCTTTGCTTGGGGAGTGATCGTATGATCGAACTACAAGATATGAATATTTACAAGTATGCTGAGGTATTGCCGATGGTTTACGTTGATATTGGACAAATGCGCAACTCGCCATTCTGCTGTTAACTCTGGTTCCGATAGCGCGCGCTTGGCCATCACCTACCGATGTTGTTTTTGTTATTTAATCATGTATATATCTTAGTTTTGATAGGAGTGTTATATAATCTTTATATTCATTTCCGTTGATGATATTGCCGTGTGTCTTTTCAATCGCCTTTGCTGACAGCTTTTTCTCTCGTCCCCAGACTGACGATGTCGTCGAAGCGCAAGTCGCTGCCGACGAAGGTGCTCGATTCCTACAGCGACGCCAGTGAGATGCTGGTGGAGGACGCGCCTCCTCTCGTCTCCACGACCGCTGGCGACTCCGACAACTCCGCCGGCGGCTCAGAGTTCAGCTACGGCGGCTGCGACGAAGGGACCGTCGGCATGTCCCCCGCGAGGTGGTCCGACTCCGAGGTGGCGTCGGGCGACGCCAAGAGAAGCCGTCGGGAGAGCTCCGCCGACTCCGACGACCTCACGCAGCACCTGCACCCCTTCGCCAACCCCTACTTCCAGGCCCGCCTCCAGGAGGCCAGGCTCAGGCAGGAACACGACAGGCTGCTCCAGGAGGCGGCGGCTGCCAGACAACACGAACAACAGCAACAGTTGCATCATCTTCAACAGCAGCAGCAACAGCAGCAACAACAGCAACAACAACAGCAACTTCAACAGCAGCAGCAGCAGCAACAGCATCTCCAGCAACAGCAACAGCATCTGCAGCAACAGCAGCAGCAACAGCAGCAGCAGCAGCCGCAGCAGCAAGGCAGGAACTCCCTGTCCCCGCTGTCGGAGGCGGAGCGAGGCGGCATGTTGGCCAGCGCCGCCAGGAAGTCCATGGACGACGTGCTGAAGCGCCTCACCTCCAAGATGAGCCACAGCACGATCGACGACGCCGAGCGAGCCAAACGAGAACGAGAAAGGTCAGCCTCGGCGCCCGCGCTTTTGACCTGATGCCGTATTGTTGTTACTCGAGTTATTGTTATTGGCATATACCATCATTATGATTATTACTCAGTATTCTTACCCGCCTTCCCCCTCTACAGCAGCAAGCCCCCTGAGGGCCGCACCGCGCCCCCCAGCCCCCCCTCCTCCACCGTGCCCAGCGGCGTGCCCCCCCTGGGCGACCAGCTGGCCTCCATGTCCCAGCTGCTGAGCGCCGACCCCGAGGCCCTCCAGAGCCAGGAGAAGCGCATCACGGAGATCATCGCTCAGCTCCAGAAGCTTCGCGATTCCATCCGGCAGCACCAGCCTCAGGAGCCACAGCACGAGAAGGTAACGTACCCGATTCCTTGGCCTTCGTCGCCGTTTTTTTTTACTTTTCTCTGCTGAATTTTTAAAGAAAAT